ACCGGGCATGTGGAATTTCCCATAACCCTCTTGTATCATTCCAATACATATCATCCCCATGTCTAAATAACTAATGTTTCATTCTCCTCGATTTACCATGCAGAGAATACGTAAATTCTCCATGATTAATCCAATGTTGTATTTTTTAAAAAAAATAATTCAAAATCAGCATGCTCACGTACACCCCTCAACCAAAAATAGTAATCAAATTCATCGCACTTCCTACACGGAAACTGATCATCGATCCTTCAACCCTGATTGGTGTAGGCAAACACAAGGATTCATCCAATCCCATTATTGTAATTCGCTCGAACATCCTTTTGGCAAATCAATCCAACTTCTTATCCATCATCTGACACATCCACAAAAATATCTCATCAAAGTAACCTCTAAATATAATTACCTTTAACTCAAACCTTTGGCAAAAAATACTCAAAAATCATCTCTATTTAATTTGTCTAAAAAATACTCAAAAACTCATCTATGGCTCTTTAACTCAAACCTATTCAAAATTAAATCTACTCTTTTTTTTTTATTACCCAAAATCAAAGATGATCCTTTTTAGCAAACTCAAAACTTCATCTATGCTCCTCACCCATTTGGCAACCCCTCTAACCATCGTCACCAGTCACCACTTTCAACAAACTAAGACGAACAAAATTTTCAATTTTTTAGAAGAAAAAACAAAAATGAAAACTAAAAATAACAATTTTTAAGATTCATGGTCAGGTTAACGTGCCTATTTTGCTATAAAAAAAACAAACAGACACAGATATTTATTAAATGATATTAAAAAGAAGGTTTAATAAAGGTAAACGAATTTAATACAGATATGTTTGGTCTCAGTTCGTTTTTCACTATTGGTTTGGTCTCTAGTCTGGTTCTTTACCAAGCCACATTCCAATATTGAGACACCCACAACACCAAAGAAAACCACAGTGTTGAGAGTTGAACAAAACAGTAATTTGGAAAAAACACACAAAAATAATAAAATAAATCAAGCACAAATATACAGAAGATTATTTAATTCTCACATTCACTAAAAATATAAGCAAGATTTACACAAAATTAGTCTAGTTATTGGGGTCTGGGATAGAGTAAACTATAGTCTCAGAGGGGTGGTTCAATGGAAATGAGGGGTAATATGATAAAAATAAACATTAAATAATATTTGAGTGTTCCAAACCATGCCTTAATACATATTGAATGCCTCTTTATCAAATAATTTTAATTGTGGAAAGTTGGAGATATTTGTTATAAATTTTAAATAAAATTACAGTATTAAAAAAATAAAATTAGATTATGAGTAATTATAAAAGGGCCTCAACTAGATATTTCAAAGTAATTTTTTTATTAAAAAAATAATAATAGTAAATAAATAAAATTACAAATTAGAAAAAAAAAAAATTATATTCATGTATATATTTTTAATTTTTTTGAACCAGATAATACATACATATATATATATATATATAGAGAGAGAGAGAGAGAGAGAACATACCTGAGTAGCTGTCGTCGTCGAAGCACCACCGCACCACCGCTAGCCCTTCGCCGTTCGTCACCCGTAGCTCGTTTGGGGATTTTGGGGGAAAGAAATTTTGTTTCAAACAATTTTAGGGATTTCGATCCAACTGAGCGGCAAGATGAAAGGGAAGATGGGAGGGGAAATTTTTTTTTTACTTTTTGCGACGGGACGGTTTACACCGTCGCAAATGATACATAATTATTAATAAACCGACGTCATTTTGGTAATCCTTTTTTCGCGACGGACATTTGCCATCGCAAATTGTCGAGTATTTGCGATAGCAAACTTATGCCGTCTCAAACATTTTTTTGTTGGCGACGGTTCAACACGCCGTCGCTAATACTTCCGCATTTTAATACCTGCCCGTGCAGTTTTATTACCGACGGTTAAACGCCGTCGCTAAAGCTATTTTTTGCGACGGTTAATTTTGCCGTCGCAAAAGACCATTTTTTGCGACGGGGAACGGGCCATCGCAAATGCTTCCGTGTTTTTTACCCTCTTTTCTTGTAGTGTGAGTTTGTTGCATTCAGAGAATTTGATTTTGTGGAACCCGGTTTAACAATGGCCTGCCTATTTTGATCTTAATAGTAGTGTATTGGGCATTGACTAGTCACAAGATGAATGCAATGATAATGATAAAATGGTCTTTGAGCTGAGAATGGAATGAGTTATTGGTGATAACTTGTTTAAATTTCTAGTCGATTTCAAATAAACTTGTTGGATTTTCTTGCTCCCCAGCTTCTCCCTCTGTGTTGATCTCTCTCTCCTCCCCTTTGTCAATCTCTTTCTCGCTTACCCCTGCTCTCTGTCGCACGATATCTCTCCAGCCTCTTTGTAAATCTCTTTCTTGCTCTCCGTCAGGCTTTCTCACTCTGTCCCTCTCTCTTGCTCTAACCTTTCTGTTGATCACTCTTCCTCTCCCTCCGTGTCTCAAGGTCTGAAAGGGAGAATGGAGAGGCTTGTAAGGAAATTGTTGGTGGTAGAAGAGTGACGGGGTACCAAAAATTGGTATATAGTTGAGATTATGGTAGGTGTAAAAAAGTATTATAGCTATTTAGTAGCACTTTTTTCCACCACATTAATATGGTAGTGTTGGGTGTTTTGAAAGCAAATGTGTGTTTAAACTACAAAGGAATCAATCTAAAACACACAAAATCAAATCTGTTTTTTTTCTGCAGAAAATAGAAAAAGAAGAAGAGCCAAAACAGGGGAGAAGATGGGTCACTGTTAACAACCCTTTTTGTAGAATTTTTTTATTAACTTTTTAGCTTCCCTTACAAGCTTTATATATGAAATTATATCAATCCAAGTACCAATAAAACATCTGGACAAATTTTTTCCACATACATTAACTCTAATTAACAAAACCCAACCCAAAACATAACTAGAATTAAATAAGTATAAGTGATTGTTTGGATACAAAATTAAACAAGCACATTATATCAACATTGCTCCCCCCTAATGTGTTGTTCCATAACTCCAAACAACTCCTTTAGGAAAAGGTTGCCGATGATGCTTCCCAAGTGTACACCCCTCACAAACATCATGTATTTCTTCAATACTTGAAAGTCCTTGGTCCACATTCTTTTGGTGAAGCACTTTGAGACTATGAAAATTCAAATGCCCAAGTCTTCTATGCCACAACCATGACTCATCATTCGTATGAGCTTTCAAAGCAACATTTCTAGCATAGTTGAATGTGAGTGGGAAGCTTTGATTCTTCTCCATTTGAATTTTTGCCGCCACTTACTTTGCATTTCTGTCATGAATGGTACAGCTGTTAGCTTCAAAATGGACTATATATTCATGTTCCACAAGTTGTCCAACACTTAGAAAATTTTGCTCCAAGTCTGGAACAAGCAACACATCATGAATAAACTTAGTCCCCTTCTTTGTTTCAACTCTTATGGTTCCTTTTCTCTTTGTATTTACTAACACTCCATTTCCCATTTTAACTTGAGAGCAAATTGAAGTGTCCATGTCCAAGAAAATAGACTTATCACTTGTCATATGATTGTTACACCCACTATCAAGGTGCCAAACATCATTTTTGTGTTCTGAAGTTGCTTGACACGTATAAAATAAGTTTCCTTCTCCATCTTTCTCCTCTAAAAAATTAGCTTGTTGATTGCTTTTGACTTTGCAATCCTTTTGGAGGTGGCCAAAATTCTTGCATTTATAACATTGTGGTTTCCCTCGAAACCAACAATCCTTCTCTAGATGATTTCCACTTTCACAAATTCTGCACTTTCTTGTATTTTCTTCCACACTTGAACTTCTATGAATGTTGCTTCTATCTCTTCCCCTTGATGAATTTCTTTCTCTACCTCTTCTTCTTCTTTGTCTACCACCTCTTGATGATTCCTCTCTTGTTTGTTCATTACTTGATGATTCTCCATGACTTTTAGAATTCAAATTAACTTTTGATTGGAATGCACTCTCCAAAGGCTTCTCTGATTGTTTTAATAACCTTTGTTCATGAGCTTTCAAAGAACCCATCAATTCTTGGACACTCATTTCAGAGATATCCTTTGTTTTTTTAATTATTCCAACCTTTGTGTTATATTTTTCTGGTAAACTAACTAGAATTTTCTCAACAATTCTCTTTTGTTCAACTCTTTCACCATATGATTTCATTTGATTGACAATCTTCATTAGTTTAGAGAAATAATCACTTAAAGTTTCAGATTCTTTCATCTTCAAATATTCTAACTCCCTTTTAAGAGTTTGGAGTTTGATGATTCTTACCTTTTTGTCTTCTTGAAATTCTTGTTGTAAAATTTGCCATGCTTCCTTTGATTTCTTGGCTTCAATGATTCTTGGAAACAACTCATCAGAGAGTGCTTGTTGGATGAAAAAGAGTGCTTTAACATCCTTTTTTCTGGTTTCCTCTAGCTACTGCTCTTGTGCTGAAGTTGATGTAGTTGTTGAATGGGGTTCATCATACCCATTTTGTATCAAGTTCCATAAACCTTGGGATTGAAATAAGGTCTTCATCCTCATACATCAATAATCATAATTTTCTCCAGCAAAAATGGGCATAGATAATGGTTGCTGGATACCTATACTTTGGTGGGCATAGATGATTGCTGGATACCTATACTTTGGTTGCTTGAGTTAGCCATGGAGATTTTCTGCAAAACTCACTTTTCTTCTTCACACACCTTCTATTTTCAGTCTTCTTTTTCGAATCCAAGCTTCCACTTTGAACTAGGCTCTGATACCACTTTATGTTGAGTGTTTTGAAAGCAAATGTGTGTTTAAACTACAAAGGAATCAATCTAAAACACATAAAATCTATTCTGATTTTTTTCTGCAGAAAATAAAGAAGAAGAAGAGCCAAAACAGAGGAGAAGAGGGGTCACTGTTAACAGCCCCTTTTGCAGATTTTTCTATGAAATTGTATCAACGCAAGTACCAATAAAACATCTCAATCAAAACAAAAAAAAAAGTACCAATAAAACATCTGGACAAATTTTTTCCACATATAGTAACTCTAATTAACAAAATCCAATCTAAAACATAACTAAAATTAAATAAACATGAGTGATTGTTTAGATATAAAATTAAACCAACACATCATATCAACAGGTAGCACTCTCTTTCACAACACTTGTAACTTATCCTGTGCACCCCAAAAAAAAAAAAAAACATTGGAAGGCCTTCACTTATTGAGTCATTGTTGAAATACAAAAGTAGTGCACATTAAAAACAAAAAAGCAGCAAGTGAAGAAGAACTGATGGGAAACAAACTGAAGCAAAAAGCTAGCAAACAAAGTGCCTAAAAAAGTAGCCCCATTAGTCTCTAGCACAATGTATGAAACATGCATTGACTAGCAAACAAAGTGCCTAAAAAAGTAGCCCCATTAGTCTCTAGCACAATGTATGAAACATGCATTGATTGCATAGGCCAGTTTTCAAGTGACTCCTCCATTGTTGGTAGCTGGCTTTCCTTCAATTAACCTGTTGCTGCCCAAATTGCTCAGCCCGGTCCTTCAACTCCGTCGCTGCACCGGCAATCCTCCGGCGCACCCGATCAAGCTGATCCGATCCCATTGGATGCTTCCCGGCTGCAAAATTGTACAGCCAATAGAACACAAATGCCGCAGCAGCACCAAACCCACAGGAAGCCGAAAACCCAGCAAGAATCAGAAACCCCGTTATCGCCGCCGGGACCAAAACCGGGCTGAAAATCACCATCAGTGGCGTTGCGATTACCAGAATGATGACAGTGGCCACCAGCATAAGGGCGGAGAGGACCATGAGGGAACCACCGACGGTGACTGCGGTGGTGATTTGGGCCACCTGATAAGATAACTGCTGGCGGTGTGGCTGGGTTTGAGACATTGTTGAGGTTGAAACAAAGGGCTGTGAATGATGGGATTGGGAGTGTGCTTGTTTTGGTTTGCTGGGTTTTGGTGGTGGGATGGAGAGAAGATATAAAGACTAAGTGGGTTGAAAATGGAGAGAGAGAGAGAGAGGGAGAGAGTGGGTGTCACGTGGTTCTTGTTTTGAAAATGGAGAGAGAGAGAGAGAGAGAGAGGGTGTCACGTGGTTCTTGTTTGTGTAACATGTATGCTTGGTTTGCATGAAGTGAAGTGTCTTGCCGCTGGACACGTGTTTATATATCTTTGGCTTGTCTCTTGCGAAGATAAGAAAGAGAAAAAAAAAAAAATATATATATATATAACATTATAGTTTCAGCTATGTTATAGTGTTTAGAGTATCCAACAAATATATATATATATATTTTTTTCAACAAGAAAAAAAAGATGCTCTGAGATGTTATCATGATATTTGTGGGCTCATATCTCAAGATAATCAGTTCACAATTTGATTTGATTCAATTTATAAGAATGGATCCACTATCGAGACACCAATGGAACTCAACCACACGCTATAGATGAATTCAAATTTCGATTAAAGTACATCACGAGATTTTCAAAAAAAGCAATGTAAAGCAATTATTTTTATTTCCCAGAATTTAAGCTTAGGTTATGCCTATAGAGAGGGATACATTCTCCACTAAGTCACACTCTTGTGGTAACAATATGTATATATTGGGAATTGGGTGATGTTATTGTGAATTTTAAAATAGCTGACCAAAGAAAAATGCGAATTTTTTAAAATTATTAGCAAAACTTATGTGTGACATCAATACAAAATCATATCAGGTCAAAGTCCATCGATCTCCTTGTATTAGAGGTCCTCTCAAACCATTTCTTAAGACAATAAACTACATTAAATTAATTTACTAACACTACAACAAAATTAAGTTTTTACAGCTCTACATTAACGATATACAGTAAATGCAAGTCGTGATTTCTCACTTTTACGATTTACTTTTTTTGCATGTCGTAAATAGTTTTTCAATCACAGCGTGTCTATTGCGTAGGCCATAAATGCTAATAAAGATGATTTTCTTACGACTTGCAAGGTTAGCTGTAAATAATAAAACTTTCTATGACGTGTATATGACATGCCGTTAATACATCAACTATATACGACACGCGTATACTAGCTGTTAAAAATATTGAACATTTCACAGCGTACAAAAAGTCAACTATTAAAAAGTGTACTTTCCATGACGTACATATGCTAACCGTTAAAAATATTTGACTTTTCACGACACGCAATTTCTATCGTGAATAGTATAACGAAAATAAAAATAGACACTAAAATAAAATTTTGAGCGCTAATTACCAAAATATATATATATATATATATTAAACTTACACTATGTTTGGGAACCTAGGAAAGAAAAGAAAAGAAATGATTACTTAAATAATAAGAGAAAAGAAAAGAAAAGAAAAGAAATGATTGTGATTTCTCTCCTTTTTGTTTGGATAAGGAAGAAATAAAAGAAAAGAAATAATTGTGATTTCTCTAATTCTTGTTTGGTTAGGTTTCATTAAGAGAAAAGAAAAGAAATTATTTTATGTTATATTACCAAAATAACCTTTTTATATTTTCAATCATTTTATTTCTTTTATTTTTATAGGGACAAAATAGGTATTATAAAAATAGTGGTTTCTTTTCTCTCACAATTTCTCCACTTTTAGGAAGATTGAAAATGAGGCTCATAATAGAAATGAGTTTCTCTCAATTTCTTCCCATTTTTTCCCATTTCTCTCTGCTTAGATTATCCAAATAAATAAAAGAAATACATACCACTCAATTTCTTTTCTTTTCTCGTCAATCCAATCCAAGTGTTAGGGTTTCAGTCTCTATCTCTCTCTGATAATTAAGGCCGAATGAATTGCTGAGGGTTACTAGGCTCTCTGGAAATCCCTCTTCGGCTGTGAATCTGAAATCAAAGGGAGGTTTCAATCTCTCTCTGGAAATCCCTTCTACTAGGTCTTCATCTTGAACAGAACCAAAAAATCCCTCTCTCACTCTCTGTTCTTCTTGAGCAGGACCAAAAAATGCTACCCAGAAAAACCCACTCTCTGTTCTTCTCACGCACGCCCCTCCTCCTTCCCTTACATCCCTTACAACCCTTCGGATTTCAATTTATAACTCGCAAGGGGTAAGATTTGTATTCGGTCGCTGTCGTACCGACGCTGCTTCTTTCGAACTCGCAAGGTAATTTCGAGTCACTGTCGTTGATTATGTTGTTTCTCTCTCCTCCTTCGAACTCGGTGATGGCTGTTTTTATTTTTTGCTCATGGTTGTGTCTAGCATCTATATTGTCTCACATATTATACCAAGACTAATACTAATTATCAGAGGTGTACGCAGATAATGCGAGCCTGTTGTTATAAGATATCGTGATTGTTACTTTGCATAACTTTGTGATTGGTTTGGGTAGACCTGAACTTGAATGTTGGACTAAACCCAACAAATTGAATCATATGATACGGATAAATTCAACCAAATAAGACCCATGTGAACTGAACTTGAGTTGAGATAAGATAGATTCAACCGTGTTTACCTGGAATGCATATTTTAATAATTTTACTTGTTTATAGGAAATATTAGGGGAAAGCATGAGAAACTGTTCTTGTAATCCTGCATTTTATGGGAAGGCAGTACTTTTTGGTTGATAAGTATAATTTATTAAGAAAGAGGAATAAGGGGTTGCACAACCTGTATTGAAAAAGACGACCTATATCAACTATACTTATTTTTTGTTTTTTTTGCTGTGTTGGGTTAGCATTCTTCTTTATACCATAGTTTTCTCCTAATATAATTGATTGATTTTGTGATCTCTCCCTGTTTTGTACAAGTCAGTTTGTGAAATTTCTGACAGCTCACCGATTCTTCAGCCTCAATCACCGCATAGCCCGTTATCCAATCGTAATCTCTCATCTCCTCCCCCGCCCCCACCTCTCTCTCTCTATTAATTCCTCTCTCCCCTTTCCTCTTCTCTTCTGAACCCATTTCCTTATATGGGTTTTTACTTTTTTTTGGCCTTTCTCAAAGTTTTGTTTCGTTATATCTATCTTTTTGTTCTGAGTTATACATTCTACGGATTTCACAGTTTTGAATCTGTTTGAAACTTGAAATCTTCACTTGGGTATTCTTTATTTAGCTCTTTTCTATAATTTCTTTTTCTGGGTATATCACCAAATTCACTGACTTTCCAATTGGTTTTGCGTTTCCAATCATTATTTTAAAAAAGAAAAAAAAAATTAAAGTTAGAAATAGGTTCTGTTCTGATCTTGTGGAAACAGAGATTAATGGTTAACAGTTACAACACAATTGAATCATTTTAAGGTCTCATAATTTTTGACCAATTTTTATTGTTGATAAAAAATTTATTTTAGCCCTTTGTGTTCATGGTCATTTTGGAGACATTACTTGCAGCTTAGGTATTACTATTGTCTAGTTGTAATTCCCCTTAGTCATCGTTGATAAGATTGCTTTTCTTGAAGAAAGAAGGAAAAGACAATGTTCTTGTCTTTATCCCAAAACAGGATATTACATTCAAAAAATGTTTTAATCAGCTGTTATTGATAGTATAGAGTGTTCCCTGTGAACGCACTGTTTGTATTAGAAAAGACTAAAAATATTTAATGGTTCCTCAGATAACACATATGTTATCAGCTCTTAGAAATTTATGTTTTAGCTGAATAATACTAGTTGTCCAATATGTGAAATCTAATCCTAAACTGAAAACACATTACATAAGGAATTGGGGGAATACACTGTTTGGTTGATTAAGGCCGAAATGTACATCATTGAGGCCGTTAATTAGAATCTCTTAACTTCACTTGCTGGTCAAACTGTATATTTTATGTGTGTTGAGTGTCAATCAGGTTGTACATCGTCGGAGCATAAAATGAGTAAAAAGACAGAATTTGGGCAGAGTTGACTTTCCTGCACGTGCGTTGACTTTTTCGCACGTGCGTTGACTTTTTTTGGGAAAGTCAAACCGACGTTTTAAACCTGTTTGGACGAGATTGGAAGTATAAAAGGGCAAGTAAGAGGCTGGATTAGGGTTCTGAAATTGTTTTGACCTAAAGAGAGAGGTTAGGGTTTGAAAAAGAGGAAGAAACAAAAGCTCCAAGATGTCTCCCATGGTGGTTCCTTCTCCTTCTACCTCCTTCCACTCCTCCATGAGTGGCTAGTCTTCTTTTCTAGGGTTTTGATGAAACGCTAACCATGTAATTATGTAGTTTTCTTTTTTATTTTTAATTATGTAAAGGTTTGAACATTTGTATGGTGATTTAGAAGTTTGTTTTATATAATTTTCATTATTCTTTCGAATATTTGACTTTCTGTGATTGTTAAATGTTATTCATACAATTGTTTTCTTTTCCTTCACATTCAAGGTATGGGACGAACCATACTACGAGGAACGAGTCGTATCACTACCTTAGTTTAGAGTGAACGGTTCGTATTACTTGAGATGGTTCGTGCTCGTACATTGAATGTGATGATCTTCTTGTTAAATGCTTTGAGCTTATAGTTGCGAAGCATTAATCCGTTCAAACAATAGCATAATTGATTTCAATTGGAAACCCTAATTATGTGGTTAGTGGTGAATTCTCTACCCTAGGATTTTTGCCCAATTCAGTAAACCCAATTTCATTTATTATTGATAATTTAATTCCTTAGTTTAATTTACTCGTTATTAAATTAGGTTATAAACAACCAATCTTTTTATCAAAATTAATTTAGGAATTTGACAATTAAATTAGTTTAATTTCACAATAGTCCCTATGGATCGATACCTGGATTTGCCATTATTCTGATTGAATTTGGTATAGTTTAGTATTTAATTTTGGTGTGTTCAACGACCCATCAAATTTTGGCGCCGTTGCCGGGGACTTCTGGCGAAATTAGTTAATTTAAAGTTACATTCTTATTTTAATTTTTAGTGTAGGATTTTATGCTTTTGGTGTTGCTAAGTGTGCAGAGCGTTTGAAATTGGAGCTATCACTGAAGTGCAAGCGGAGCGCAGCCAAGCTTTGAAAAATAAAAAAAAAACCCGCAGCGCTAAAGTGAGTAAA